ATAGATGTCCACAGTGTAATGAATCTCGTTACAAAATTAAGAAGAGTAAAGGAAAGAAAATACCGCACAAAATATTGAGACATTTTCCATTGAAGCCGAGACTAGAAAGATTATTTCTGTCAAAACATACTGGTAGAGACATGAGATGGCATATGGAAAAGAGAAAACACATAGAAGAAGTTCTAAGACATCCAGCAGATGCTGAGGCTTGGAAACATTTTGATAGACAATATCTCTGGTTTGCAAAAGATCCAAGAAATGTTAGATTAGCATTGGCCACAGATGGATTCAATCCATTTGGCAATATGGGAACGACCTACAGCACGTGGCCAGTAATGTTGGTTCCATACAACTTGCCACCATGGAAATGTATGAAAGAAGCATATATTTTCATGTCGTTACTCATACCAGGGCCAAAGGCTCCAGGAAAGGAGATAGATATTTACTTACAACCATTGATAGATGAGTTGATGGAGTTGTGGAGTAGYGGCTTTGAGACGTATGATGCTTGCAGTGGTCAGAACTTTCGACTCCATGCAGCTTTGATGTGGACAATCAATGACTTTCCTGCATATGGCAATTTCTCGGGATGGAGTACGAAAGGATATAAGGCATGTCCAATTTGTAACGAAGACGTTACATCTGCCCCATTGCATAGTAAAATATGCTATATGGGACATCGTCGATTCTTGCATAAAGATCATCCCTGGCGTAAAATAAACAGTATAATGGAGAAACCGAACATAGACTTGCACAAGATATAGATGTAGTACAAGACGAAATAGAGGATGAGGACGAGGACGAGGACGAAGATGAATATGATGAAACAACATCGTCGGATGAAATGGATGATGACTCTGACATTGATGAGTAATTCAATATGGTATATTATATGTTTTGTTAGTTTATAATTTTTATTTCGGACTAATCCTAACAACTTGTATTCTGTTTTCTTATTTTCATTATGTGGACAGAATGTCATCAGACAGTGAAGGTGAGGATACCATCGCTGGAATCACACGAGCTCAAGGGGAAACTCGTGGCGAATTCTTGTTACGAGTCGTAAATCGAGTTGGAAAAATCAAGCTGGAATGGACGGAGCAACAGGGTAGACCAGTTGGACCTGGGTCAGCTTCGTTTAACAGCGAGATAGGCTATTTGGCACGCAACTATATTGATGCGAAGCGTGCAAAGAAAAAGGAGATAACGRTCCTAGAGACTAATAAAATCATTCAGATGTTGCTGGTAACTTATGTTGTATTTGTTGACCACTAATAATTGAATATGTTGTTAACTTGTTTTAATGACTACGTTTTGTAGGAGAAGTTTGCTGTCGATATATCTCAGCCACATGTGCATAGATATATTTTATACGAGATTGGAACTCGATTCAAAGATTATCGAGCGAAACTACATCGCCATTACAAAAAATCACGTGATCCAGCACGTGCTCGCCAAAAGCCGTATAAAGACATAAAACAAGAASACTGGAACATATTGTGTGATAGATGGGAATCTCCTGCATGGAAGGTAACTAATATATGATCTTAATTCTTTGTTATCAGTTTATAAGTATCGTTTCTTAACTAAACATGTAATTTTGTAGGAAAAATCTGCCAGAAATAAGATGGCACGTAGTAAATTGAGGTTCAATCATCGAGGTGGACCAAAACCATTTC